TGAACCGAACGATGGGTGTTCATTGAACTTTTCGTTGCTGCCTTCGTCAGGTGCGGCTGGTGTGGTGCCTGCGTCAGCAGTAACGGCAGAAGATGGCCAGCATAGTATCGCTGTGGATGATATAACCCCAGATGAACAGAGTTATGCGCGCCTACCCGTTACGGATAACTCGGACACAAGCTGTGCTGTGGCCGGCCAACAGAGTGTGGAACAATGTCCACTGGTAGCGGAAACAAAGGCAAACGACGAACGTACACCACAAGCCGGTGGTTCGCAAAGTACGCTCACTTCGAATGCGCCCGTCGAAGGTGAAGAAGACACTTTGGAGGAGGACGAGAGTTTACAGCAGCTGCGTCAGTATATACACTATTGCTTGTACGTGTTCCACGGGTTGTACAATCCCGACAAAATTAGTGATTTCTCGAAAGATCGCCTGGAGTATCGCGTACGTACACTTATGCTCAATTTCAAATTTGCGGATGCGTTTGTATTGTGCCTGCAAAATTGCAACAGCGCAAATAAAGCATTGAAAGTTTTCGCATACTTCTCCAAGGACACGGGACTCGTGCCGCTGCGACGACAAGATGTGAAGTACTTAATTTACTATTTGATGAGACACTTTATGGCGCAAAAATTCGATATGCTTGAATGCGAACGTTTCTTTATGGGTGATCTTGAGTACTACTTGCTCGAATTATCGTATGTGCTGTTCTTTAACAACAACAATACCATGCTGGAGAGAAATTTAAATGAGAAATTCAAGAGCTATTTTGCGGACGAGGAAGCGCACCTAAATCAAAATCAAAACGATAATGAGCAGTCGCAACATAAATTGGAGGATACGGATGTGATATTCGATAGCCTAAGCGTTAAGTTCAAAACGATCGTTTGCCAGAGGCTGATGCAGCACTGCAACAATTAGTTGCTGGTGCTAAGCACCATTAGATTAACTTGTTTTTAATTTATTAATTCGTGATATGAGTTGTTTTTTAGTTCTTTCGGCGTTTTATATTGTATTTAAATTTACACCTAATTTATATATATTTGTGTTATAACGAGAAAATGTAATATACATATACATACATACATACATATTTATATTCATTTATACCTCATACATTATATGCGTTACTTATGTGTTTGAGTTGTATTTTTTTCTCTTTCCCTTGGTTTAATACTGACTTCGCCTAAAGTTAACGCGAAAAACGTACACAGTCCATAGATATGTTCTTTCGTCACTTTTCATCGGCCTTATATATCAAAATGATTAACGAACTCTCGTGTTCACTTATGGTGGGGGAAAAAAATCTTTTGAAATGTCTCTTCCATACTCCTCCGGAAAATGCTACTGAAAATATTGTAAATCTGCCTACGGAAAAAACTGATTGTTTCTAACTAAATACTGGAGTACGGGAAAAGGCATATAACGTTCCGGCGAGTTACTAACAAAAAGGCATTTTATGGTACAGTTACAGAAAAGAAATGGGATAGCGCTTGGATGCAAGGATTCAGTGCAACTATCCTTCTGTTTGTACAATAACAGATTTAATGTAGGTCCAGAGCCGGAATTACGACAAATTTAACCTAGGGAATTTTGGTTGCACATGCCATTTTCAGATAGTGGCACTCCACTACGAGTCATTTTAATAGCCCACTGCATACCAGCTGTTTTTTTGTTTTAATCTAGATAAAGATAAAGATCTAGATCGTTCCAGTACTATTGGCCCGACTGTCGAGGGAACGCAATGCCCAAGGTCGTGGTTCAGCCCCTCAAGTCGATTTAGAAATGAAGATCCATTGAGAGATCAACGCGAATCCGAATATATACCTGGGTCAGTCCGATTCCGTAGACCCGACTATCGTGGGAGCCAAACTGGTATCGCGATCAATTTTCATAAATGAAAATTTTGATTTAGCCCGGGATTACTTCAGTACGAGAGTTT